CTGAGACAAGGGGACAGAAAGCCAATGCTTTCTTTTCTGAAGCTAGCAGGAGGAAATGTTGGAAGAGGTGATACGTGATCATTAATGAGTATAGATTTCTTTATTGGTGATAAAAATATTCTTATTTAAGTTAAAATTATGAAACATACCAAATATACTAAAATCATTGATAGTGAAAAAGTATACACTTTAGGTGAGTAAACTGTATGTTAGATAAATACACATCAGAAATACTCCTAAAGCAAATGGATTGTTATAAATATATGTTTGGTTTAATTATGGGACATTGCTCATAGCTAGGTATATTCTTTACTTCCTGCCCCTCTGCCCTCAGTGACTCATGTTTCTTAGGTGTTTAATTCTTACTACATCTCTGTTGGTTAATCAGAGTTGTTTGGAGCACAGAGAGGGTAAATAATTTCCCTGAAGTAACAGTGTTCAGGCCAGGATTTAAAGTTCAGGTGTATCTCATGCTAAAACTCATTCTTTCTCCCACTGTGTGTGTTTTTTTTAAGTTTGTTCTTTAAAATTGTTCAAACACTTATATTTCAAAATGCAGGGGGACATCAGAGACATACATCCTCTTTCTGTGGCATTACTCCCTGCCCGTGAGCGTAGCTTGTATTAGTTTCTTCTCTATTAGTCCGCATTTCTTATATAAACAAAGCATATGCAGATAAACAGTATTTCTCCCTCTATGGCAAATGTGCCCTCTGCATGGGCTCTGCATTCTGCTTTCTTCTTTCCCATGGCCTCCCAGGGGTCTTTCTCCATTCTTCATTTATACTTTCAGAGATCTCCAATACCTACATGTGCCATGATATGCCTAGCGATCCTTTAAACATAGCCACCTATGTTCTTCCCAGAAATCTATGTTTTTGAAATGAACTCTGAATACAACAAGGAAATCACAAAAATCTAATCATTTAAAAAATCCCTTTCATAAAACATGTACTAGTTGGAGCTGGAGAGATGATGGTTCAGTGGCAAACTGTTTGCTGTGTAAGCATGAGGACGTGAGTTTAGATCCCTAGCACCTATATAAAAGCTGAGTGTGGTGCAGCTCTTCTACAGCTCCAGCACTGGGGAGGAGTGGGATTGGTGGGTGGAGATAGGTAGGTCTCCAGAGCTCAGTGGCCAGCCAGAATAACCAAATAAAGTGGAGAGTGACAGGCAGAGAGACCTTTTATCGAGCTCTGGCCTCACATGCACAGGAACACAAATGCATGTACACACTCGTGCACACATATACACACATGCACTCTCACAGACATACATAAATGCACATGCACACAATGCATCCACACACATATACACATTCACACACATACAGTCATAGATACAGATATGCACAGACATATCAACACACACACACATACACAATGGATTCCTTGAAGGTGACAACTCTTAAAATATGTTATTTTTTTTTAAAGTTAAATATCAAATGCAATGGAATGTTTTGTCCCCCAAAGTCAGTTACATGCTTAAGTTGTGATCCCCAAGATGACAGTTTGAGTAGGTGGAGTCTCTGTTAGGGAATTAGGTTATGAGGGCAGGACCTTCATGAATGGGATTAGTTCCCCCGGTAATTCCCAAGGGAAGCTTTCTTGCTTCTGCCATATGAAGCTCAGTGAGAAGACCCAGTGAGAAGGAATCCAGGAAGCCTAGCCAGCTTCACTGAGCACTGAATCCCATCCCCTAGTGCCATGATCTTGGACTTCCTAGCCTCCGGGAGCATGAGAAATACACTCTGTTCCCCATAACTGTGGTGGTTGATATGGTAAATTTGACAGAATCACTTAGGAAACAAGTCTGGGCATTTCTGTGAATAAGTTTATTGAGGTGGAAATGTCTACCCTACATGTGGGTGTCATGATTCCGTGGGCTGGAGTCCTGAGTGAATACAAAGGAGAAAGTGAACTGAGCACTATCATTCTGTTTCTTAACTATAGATGCGACATGACTAGTCACCTCATGCTCATGCCACCATATCCCGCTCCCCCCAGGATGGACTCTACCCTTCAAACCCTTTTCTTCTTAAGTTGCTTTTGCTATAACAATGAGAAAGTAACAAACAGTAACCTAAGTAATTTGTGGTATTTTGCTATAGCAATATTTTACTATAGCAATGCAAATAGACTATATAATCAACACCAACACAATCCTGCATTATACGAGAGTGGTGGCCCCATGTGAGCCATGAAGTGTGAAAAATACTCCTCAGGACCAGGGATTTTCAAAAACTAAAAACCACCGAAATCTTTGTACTTATGCAGTACAATGATTCTGCAGCTTAGTATTTGTGAAGCTGAAGAATCAAATAATGCTGAATCACGTATCACCCCTATGGTGAACTTTCATATAATATGCACATTAAACCCTTGAGTGGATGGAATGCCAATTCTTATAGCAAACTTAGACCCCAAATGCTTTAAAGTTTCTCCAGCTCTCTTCACATCTTCTATTACTAATCTTCAAAATTCCTTGTCAATTTTGTTTCCTTTTTTTTTCAGTCTTTTTGAGACAGGGTCTCTGTGTAGCCCCAGCTGTCCTGGAACTCATTATGGAGACCAGGCTGGCCTCAAACTCAGAGATCCGCCTGCCTCTGTCCAGAGATCTGCCTGCCTCTGCTTTCTGAGTGCAAAGGAAATTGTCACTTCAATAATGCTATGGATTTCTTAAAGGGTGCCTGACATAAATGAGTCTGAATACTAACATGTAAAGGACAAACAATTATATAGGTAATAAAAGTGCATAAAAATACCCATGAGTTACAGAGAAAAATGATCTCTTCTAAAGGGAGAGGAATGAAAGAGTACAGAATGCACGGTTTCTCAAAGGGAAGGAAATGTCAACAGGAAACAGCAAGGTTGAACTTATCATGACGTTCTCAGAACACAGACGTGTATTTAGTTTAACAGGCTTACATGGTACCTGAAGAAAACATCATATTATGCATCTGGGCCATGAAGGCTTACGATGATTTTGTGAGGCACAGCCCAGGCAGCTGGACAGGAGTGGAGCTCATGCTCCATGAAGGTGAGGTTTCTTCTTACCATCAACACAGGAGGAGAACATAGAGCCTGGGAGGCCCAGATAGCACATAGAACCAAGACTGAAGTACACTGTGGTAGAAGTCCACTGTTAGTTCAATATTTTCTGATTAAAGCTATAATATGATTTTTAGCAGAAGATTTGGAAAACGTGAAAAAATATAAAGAATAAATGAAGATAACCTACAAGCCTACCACCCAGAGAGAACCACTATCAAAACACTGGCGTATTCATTTGCAGTCCTTAATTTTATATAAATATATACATAATCTAGTTTTTGAAAAATTGAGCCCATGCTATAAATCAACTTTTATACATGGTTTTGCGACCATTTCTTGAGCCCTCTCCCAGGTTTTGCATTCTTTAAAGGTGCACTTTTAATGACTGGTTCCTGTGCAACTTAAGCAGAATTGTTTGATTCTTTCCATATTACTGAATCTCTGGGTTTCTATTTTTTCCATTTTATAAATAGCACTGTGATGGCATTTCTTGTCATAAATATTATCTCTATTTACTTCTCAAAAGAAACTTAAAGGGATATCAGTATGTTATATTCAAAGTCAGATCACTCAGTACACCAGTTCCTGTAAACTCACCACTGAAAGTCTCTGGGGACAAAATTCAAACAATGCCTATCAAACAGCCAACACGGTTTCTGCATAACTCACAGTAAGCATTTATCCTTCTGGGGCAGTCATCTTTCAGGCACTACATTATTTCCTGTGGCAAATGGACTATTACTGGGTTAATCTAAATGCAATAACATGAAACTTGGCTGACCCAGATTTCTTCAATATCCATATGCATGCAATTACTATATCCTGCAGATTGAAAAATGCTCGAGGCTCTCAAAAACACTTATTTGATCATTCTTTCATTTAAAATGATGCATGATGGGCAACAATAACAAAAAAGGAAGTTACAGGCAATGGAAATTGATACCTAACAAACCATAAGATACACAAGTTACACACAGTGTGACTTAAAGCTTTCCTCAAATTTTAGTTTTTGGTCACTTCAAAGTTATGGGGTTCTTAAGTGCACTCAACATATTGAAGTTTTTCACAACACTCTTAAGAATTACATGGCTTTAAGAATCCAGATTTAAATTCCCTACAGTCTATATTTTAAATTATTCTATTTGCAAGAGGTTAATAGAGTTCTCATAACCTCTAAAGTTTATGCATATATTAATTCACTTAAAGTCACATTTAAAATATTTTCCTTCTATTAGTCAATGAAAAACAAAGTTAAAATATAACAAGACCTCATATCTATCACTGGACATATTAACTACAGAATCACACAACTTCCAAGATCTCAGAATTATTGGTCAGATGAAGGCAGTTAGGACAATACCACACAGTTGTGCACATCGCATGCCACACAGCTCTGGAGGGAGCAATGAAGCCCTGATCGATGTGACTGGTACTCTCTAGGGTTGTACAGTAAGCAATCCATGTAGCTTTATGTGATAACCTTGAAGTTAGCACCAGTGATTCTGTTTGCTCATCCGTTACTTATTCATGTATCGTTTTCTCTAGCGAGCAATAAAAAAGAAAAGTTTTAGGAGGGAAGTGGTCTTTAAAGCTACATACTTTTTTTTTTTAATTTACTATATTTTTTAAGTGTATGCATGTAGGTAAGTGCACCCGAGTCATACAATGCTGGCAGAAGACAGAAGAGGCTGTCGAATCCCCTGGAACTAAAGTTATAGACAGTTGTTAGCTGCCATGTGGGTGCTGGGTCTTCTGCAAGAACAGTGTTCTTAACCGCTGAGCCATATCTCCAGCCCCATAAAGCTACATACTTTTTTAATGTGAGAAGTTTTGTGAGGAATCAATATGAAACTCTACTTGGCTCCCCTCTGTTGCGATTGATATGGTTTTCTGTCTCTTCATGTCCCCATGCACCCACCCACCACCCACCAGGAGTAAGCAGGCTACCTTGTGTGAGTAACTGCAGGTTTCTGACTTCTTCCCGCACCTTCAACTGGAGCACCTGCTGCAGGATGTGCTGTCTCAGGTTCTCCTGGCTGATCCCCATACGCTCTAGCTTCTTGTCGGTGAGTCTCAGCAGCGCTCGCCCTGCAGGGGTTTAAGAAATAGAGAAGCAAATGAGCAAGGGCCTGGAGAAGGACTTCCATCTTGATTTTAGCTGGGCTCTTCGTAAGAGAAGTTTACAACTAAGTACAAATGCTTTAGAACAGAGGGTCCAATGTTCCTTGCTGACAGGACTGGAAATTTGCATAGAGAAAATCCACATATATAAAAGGGAGCCCTGATTTTTTTTTCTTTTAAGAAAATATTTTATTATTTTTATTTTATGTGTATGAGCGTATTGCCTGCATGTATATAAGTGCACTTCAATTGTGCAATGCTGGAGGAGGTCAGAAGATGGTGTTATACCTCCAGGAACTGGAGTGATAGATGGTTGTTAGCTAGCATGTGGGTGCTGGGAATCGAATCCAAGTCCTCTTCTACAACAGCCAGTGTGCTTAACTGCTGAACCATCAACATAGCCCTGAGAGCCCTGATTTTATGTAAGAGTGGTGATCCTCAGTACAATGAGATAGATAAAATAGCCAGCTTTTAACTTGCCTATTTGGGTTGCCAATTGCAGGTTTCCAAGGCAACAGTGCTCTTCATTGGGTTTTCATGCTGGCCAATGGAGTCCCTTACTGACACCCTAGCTGCAGAACTCGATGCTCTATGTTTACAAAACTCTAGCAACAGCTGTATTTTTGTGAAACACACACTTAAGGTCAGATTTTAATCTGCAGGAATCCAGCCTTCTGGTTCCATTCTAACACTGGTCAAGGGCGAAGGATCTACAAAGTGGAGGTAAGACCAGAGAAATGATGAGGGCAATGCAGGCTGGCTAAATAAGAAACCCAAGTGCTTAGGATGCCACACACCTGGGTCTTGACAGCTCAGTACAGCCTCCTTTCAGCTCCTTTCTTGCCCCCAGATGTCTGCACGCTTTTTGTCTACCTTGATTTCTATGATACCAAATACTTCCCTACTCTGTTTACCTTGAAATAAGCATACTTCCATTCCTAGGATTTACTACAAGAGACCAATCTTTTACTCTATTTCCACATCCTTAGCATCACACCTGCAGATCTCTTCTCATTTTTATGGTGAGGAAGAGACAGAGCCTGCTGCTTGTGATCAATGGGATGTCTGTGGGTGCAGTGTTACACAGACTTCAGTAACTAAACACTGAGAAGCCCACACCCATGTCCTGGGTGTGTGTAGTTATTCTCCTAAACATCTTTCTTTTTCTTCCCTAATATCCATGCTTAGATCCTACATCAGAATTTCTTCTTACCAAACTCCAACTTTGCTTCTATAACAAAAAAGGAAATTCCACCTTAGAAAAGAAACCTAACAACTAGAAGGTGAAGTTAATGGGTATTTCTATCACAGGAACAAGAAAGCCTATGAATATGTAGCCTGTGAATACACACAGGTGGATGGAGAGAAGCAGCCAGGAGCAGTAGATGCTATCTACTCTTTGCCTTTCCTTCCCTCTAACCCTTGCATAGAGCACCAGTCAAGATCAGCTAGGCTATGTGCTGCATATAGCGGCTACAACAAATTCATTTCTGGCTTATCCTTCATTTATAAAAATATTTGTCTTGAGATAGGGTCTCTCAAGTAGCTCAGGTTGGCTTTAAACTTAAAACCCACATGTCCAAACCTTTCAAGTGCAAGGATTGGAGGAATGGCCCCACCATGCCCAGCTTTAGTCTGCTTTATTTTGACTGCAAGTGTACCTATTTTGAACACAGTTGATTATAAAACCAGAGGTAAAGAAGTGTTTGAGGATCTCATCTCATTAATGGGCTGCTTGGCAAGAATTAGCAACATGAACTCTTCCACTAAGAAAAGGGCCATATACTGTGACATGCGATTTCTCCACAACCATATACCCAGAAGTAAGGTGGGAAGGGTAGGCAGTGATGCTGGATGGGATACTGATGACATGACCCTGGACCATCATTGGTCAAGGAATTGAGTTTAGTGGTATGTGTGTGTGTGTGTGTGTGTGTGTGTGTGTGTGTGTGTGTTGGTGAGTAGTGGCCTTGCAACGTCTGTGGGATCTATAGCTGAAAGAGGAATCCTCATAACTATAGCTCAGGCTTGGCACCACAAGCTGAGCCAGGTGACCATGGAAAAGAAAGGAGAGGACAGACACAGCCAAGTTACTCTAATCCCTTCTTCAGCAGGTAAAGTAATAGCTCAAAGGTGTCAGTAGAATCTCTGGAATCTGTATATTTGTTACCCCGCATGATCAAGCACACTTTGCAAAGGTGAGCAAGGTAAAGACCCTGAGATGGGAGAGTTCCCTGTATCACCCAGGCAGCTCAACCAGTCTAACCACAAAGTTATGAAAAGCTAGATACCGAGAGCACACGGCAACAGAAGCACGTGTCAGAGTGAACTACTGACAACAAACCTCTGAGTACCAGTAGCTTCTAGAAGCTGACAAAGACCCTAAAACCGCTTCTTTCCTATACACCCCAATTACCATTCTACCACTATCTTATTTTGAGCCCTAGCTACCCATTTTGGACTTGTGACTTTCACAATAGTAAGACAATAAACTTTTAAGCCCTTAAGTTTGTTACAGCAACAACTGGCCTTGTGACTGATATTAACATGGGTTTAAGAACTCAAATAGGTGATTCCAGATTTCCTTTCCTTTCTAAATTTCTATGAGGCAGTAAAGCAGAGGAGATAGTTTAACTTGGGTCTCCCATTTGGTTTTGGATTATGCAACCCCTTTATAATACACTTGGTAGCCCAATTCCTTCCTCTGCAAGCACTATGTACACATACCCCTCTTCAAACAATACACTTAGCAACCCGAGAACCCCTTCAATCCCCATCTGCATTGAGCTACACATACTCTCAATTCTGAACAACAGTATAAGTTTCCTCACCCCTGGTAACAATCAAATTTAGACAATTTCCACACTCAAATGTATCTCCAATGTATCCAGGTATGAAGAATGGAAGGGCCAATCTGGTCTGAACTGGTTTTAGGTACTGATGCAGTAGGGCAAAATTGTGTCCTGTAGTAATCTTTTTGGGAGAATCCCTACTTACCCCTTTATGACTATGCATAAGTATGCATGACTATGATTAAAAGAAGGTGCATTATGGGAAGGAACACACACAGTAGAGACATGATCATATAACCTTATCTATTAATCAAAATAGAAAACCACCCAAACTATGTCCCTTAATAACAGGAATCCTTGAACAATATTTGGGGCCCTTGAGTCTCCACACTCATGTGTTTATCTAAATAAAGTTATCTTGCTTCTTTTCCAAATTTGTGTAAGGCCTTGTTTCAATTCTTTGGATAAGAGGCCAACAATCTGGCAACATCCACTCAAATCTGACCACGTATAACATTTGTTGTAGCCATAATGAAGAGTAGAGAGCAAAGGCTAGCCCAGGAGTAGTGACCTGAAGTCCTGGGTTTCAGGAGAGTCTTGCTTTGTAATGTAACATCCTGCCCAATCTAAGATCACAAAGGATGGGGCATGGGTGTGACCTATATTCATAACTGGCTTTCAAATAACAGATTTAGCTCTTGATAGCAACAATAAATTTATAATGGCATAAAACACTATCTTAAGCTCAGGCAATCTATATCCTTCCCAATCCCCAAACATAGCTTGCTCCCCTGCCTCTTTGTCTCCAATCATTTGAGCTGTCATTTCATAAGCTGTGACAGTCACAGTGACAGCTGTTGCAGCCTTGGGAAGACACATGGTGGCTTCAGTCTTGAGAAGTTGGCTTGGCCCTGATTAGAGCAACATGTTCATAAGTTAGACGGTTTAATTCCTACACACCTAGGTCAATGTTTCTTTGCTTGACTGCTTCCTGAAAAGATCTAGTTTCAGCTTTTACAAACATACATGTGACTGGCCAAAGAAAGCCTCCTACACTTTCACTTCCATTTGGTAGGTTAATTGTGTAAGATTTGAATATAGGGTTTACAAACTCTGTCACTGATCAAAGTTTGTGTGCTTTCTGACTATGATATCATTTTTAAGTATGCAGTTGTGTAAATAGATATACTCAAATCCTGAAATTAGATGTTTTTATTTCCATATTATAATTGGAAATGAAGAAATTAATATTTTGAAACACTAGTGTTTTCCCTAATTCTTCCCATTACCTTTAGTTGTGTTTTATCTTCCTTGGTTGAAAACTGAAAGGCTTAGAGTTCAGGAAGAAAGATCAAGAGTAAAATGCACAAAAGAAGTTCTTGATAAAATAATTTATAGAAAAGACCATGATCTGCATATTGGGAGTCCCATGAGCAAAATCTGATGCCCTGTTTTCCTGAATATTTTCTGCAGTACAGTCTGGACTAGTGGTTCTGAAAGGTTTTCCGATAATTAAATAATTTCTATGGCAAATGTCACAGCAATCTCCTTTCCTACTTTTCATGCTGTTCACAAAATAAAAGAATCTCCAAGTATATACGATACTCTTTCCCATGTATTGATCAGGGAGGTGTTACACTGACAATCATAAATTACATATTTTTTTAAAAAACATATTATTAATGCTTATTGTCTACCATAAAAATGCAATGTCTTATCAACTAGTATTAGTTGAGCACTTATTGGGAGCATCATCTGGGTCTAACAAACAAACAGGAAAGGGAGACAAGGTTACCTTGATGCTTTGGATTGACAGGGCAGGTGGGTAATGATAAATGCCTGCAGGTATGTGATAAAGGGTATGACAGGGCCAATATGGGTGACCTCACCCAGACTGAGCCTCAGGAAGGACTAACATAGGACTTATGGAATTTAGAGTTAGTTGGATAAGAAGTACTGGATAAAGCAAGGGCTTTCATAAGCCCAGTAACCAGGTGGATGGAGAAGGATGCTGGTACTATAGACAAACAACAGAGGTACACTTGTTTGTTCTGGCCACCTTGTTCTGTAGTTACCTGTTCCCACAAAGGGATTTAGGAATTAAAAATTCAACTCAATCCCCAAAAAGCACCAGATCAGTTTTCCGATTCCAAACTGGCCTGTTATAGGCTGCTG